TAGTATTTCCAGGTTGTAATCTTTACCGAATCAGATCGTCCCATCTCATGTGGGATAACTGGTGGATTTGAACCACCAGCCTTTTGTGTGTAGTTAAGGACTTAACCAGTATGCTACCAGGGCTAAGACGTAGTAGATACTATTAAGTGCCATTGAGTTGGTGTGTGCCATCTTTGAGCCCGGTGCTGCAGCCACTCAGCCTGTCTTCTCATGGAAGACCTTCCTCTTTTTTCACAGTTGTCTACTTTCCCAAGCATGATGTCGTATGCAGGGACTGTTCCATTCTGATAATGTGCAAAACATATGAGATGAAATCTCACCTCCTTGTTTCTAGTAAGCATTCCGGCTGTTTTTCTCCTAAGTCACGTTTGTGCGTTATCCCTGTCACATTCAATATTGTTATCAACACCATGATGCAGATGCATCAGTTCTTCTGTGATGTCCTCATTCATTGTCCAACTTGCTCATTCATGGGAGGTGAATGTGAATACCATGGCTTGAAGTAGATCACCTACGTCCTCGAGATGACATCTCTGCTTTTAGACCTCTGAAAGACGTCTGCAGCAGACTTGCCCAATACAGTGCATCATTTGATTTTTTTGACTCAGGCCTCTTTGAAAATTGATTGTTTAATCAAGTAAAATAAAATCCTTGAGAAGTTCAATCTTCTCTGTGTTTGTCATTGAGTGGCTTATTGATCCAGTTGTGTCGACTTTTGTTTTTCAATCTGTAGGTGTAATGCATACCAAAGGCTGTAGCCTTTGGGCTTCATCAGTAAATGCATCCAGTGCTCTGTAAGCACTGTCAAGTCATCTGAATATTGCAGGTTGTTGTTGAAGTCGGATGTTACATTTTTCCTCATATGGCTCAGCTTTTGGGATTATTTGCTCAGTTTACATGAAGTTCATTGTATTAGTAAAATATTTAATTAAAATGTTCTAGGTATGTTATATTGATATTTTTCATGCATTAGTAGCATTTTTCCAAGTTTAATATTGGGGAGTATGTAGGGCACAGATAAGTGATGAGTTGCTTAACTATGTGAAGAGTATTTGTAGATCTTTCTGTAGGGCTATTGCGATAATTAAATAAGGAAATATGCTGTTAAAAAAAAGAAAATATATCCAACATACAATCATATATGAGAACAATTGTGGCACATTTTAACTGCTCAACAAATTAGCCGTTACTTTAATGTAAGTGTGAGGGGACTGTAAGTTTGTGGAAAGCTCCATTATCACTCAAGTCTGTTTCCCGCAAACTCTTTGAAGCCCTTTCATACCTAAGGAGGACTGCTATTACTTTCATTTACTTTAAGTTGTTTTTTTATGAATTGGTCTGGAAGCTTCAATACTATTTTTAAATGCTACGTTTGAAATGATTTAAGCACAATTTATTAATTGTTGACTTTTTGTATAATAAACATAATGTTTCTGTATACAAGGGGGCTTGATAAATGATTCAACAATTGTAGTCATTTTATGAATACTGACCTTTGGTCATCCTTTTTTATAATGAATTCTCAAGAAAACTGTAAATTACTATATTAGAACTAGAAGAATTACCTGAGCTGCTTTAAATTTTTAAATTCCACACCAGGCATATTTATAGAGATACTTTTTTGTTTGTTTCCTTGCATGTGATGTTTTCAGTGGCATTGCTTTTATGGAGAGTACTGGTTATGATGTAATTTAAAGGCTATAACCGTTTATTTTATGGCATTATTAAAAGGAATAAACTAATTTTTGTTTTAAGAAAATTAACAGTAGAGGAAAATCACCGGTTGGAGAAACAAGAGAAACTTTCCAAAGCAGACGAAAAGCTCAGTTATGCGGCCGAGGAACTGGAGACCTACAGGTAGGTACTAAATGCATTTCCCTAATTTTGGGGTGGGGCAGGAAAGATATAAAAAATTTATTAGAAAAAAGTATAAAGCAATTAAAAAAATAAAGTGACATTTTTATTTTATTTTTTATTCATCTGTCTTGCTGTTGTGCAATTGTATAGAAAATGTAAAAAGGGAAACATGTTTTACTTTCAATGTATATGATGTTTAAGTCTCTTCCATTAGATGCATGGGAAGAACTGGGCTTTCTACTCCCCTAAAGAGTTGCAGTCTAGGAAACTCCGGGGGCAGTTCTGCCCTGTCCTCTAGGGTCATTATGAGCCAGCATCGATTCGATGGCAGTGAGTTTGGTTTGGTTTAGTTCATTAGATAATTTTGAATATGAACACTGAGGCAATGTCAAGAAAATTATGAATAGCTTTTAATTGCAAGCTTTTTCCTCTGGTTAAAATAGGAGAGAATGCTTAAAATATCAAGTAACTGAAGAAGTGTGGCCCAAAAGAGGGAGCCAGAATTAATGTTCTAAAAAAGTGTTTTTGGGACTTTTAAGTCTAGTGTTTACCTTGGCTCTATCCCTATTGGATCCAAGGGAGTAGTGGGGAATATAAGGAAGAAAGGGAAAAGATTAAGCGGTACACTGTGTAGTTGTTGTATTATTCATTTCACCTTAAGCTAGGATTTAATCTGAAAGAAGAAATTACTGTTTTAATTTTCTAGACGTGATAAAAGGCATTTTATTTCCAAAAGGTTACTATTTATAATTCTATTAAATTTATAGATATGACTAAATTGTCTGTCTGACATCATGCTTATTAAAGTTTTTTAAAAAGCAAGGGAGAATGGGTAGGGAAGAGGGAACCGATTACATGGAACTGTGTGTGACCTCCTCCCTGGGGGACAGACAACCAAAAAGTGGATGAAGGGAGACGTCGGACAGGGCAAGATATGACAAAATACCCATTTATAAACTATCAAGGGCTCATGCGGGAGGGGGGAGCGGGGAGGGAGGGGAAAAATGAGGACCTGATGTCGGGGGTTTAAATGGAGAGAAAATGTTTTGAGAAACGATGTACAAATGCGCTTTACACAATTGATGTGTGTATGGATTGGGATAACAGTTGTATGAGCCCCTAATAAAATGTTAAAAAAAAAAAAAAAAAAAAAAAAACCCTGCCCCCCCCCCCCAAAAAAAAGCAAGCCAATGTACAATATCAATTCTTACTTGTCTTCTTTGGGTGAGGTAAAGCCATTTAGCATTATTCTTAAAGCTTAATTAATGTTAATATTATATCTAGAGAAAAATATACTCAGAACCACTTAAAGCTGTTTATTACTTGATATGTGGAGTTTAGGAGTTATTTTTCACATGAATCAGAACACTCCAGGTGTTCTAATTAATATTCTTAATAGATACAATGTGGACTATCATTTCTTCATAATGTGAATGTAGATTATTATTATTTTCTTATAGAAAGCGAGCCAAAGACCTTGAAGAAGAATTGGAGAGAACCGTTCTTTCTTATCAAGGGCAGGTATGTGTATTTGTGTGCGTGTGCGCGCGCGCGCGCGCGCGTGTGTGCGTGTGTGTGTGTGTGTGTGTGATTTAAAACAATTTTGATTTAATAACTTTTGATACTATAGGATAGATACTTAACTAGTTGAACACTTCTGTTGAGATATGTCATATGGCTGTAGAATACTTCCAGGAGCTAAAGATTCTGGGATAAGATGCCTTATTTAATGATGCTATGTCTGAACTTCACAGAAATAAGTACATGTCAGCAGCATTGGGGTCTCATATTCAGTTAGTCTGGATTAGTTATCTTAATTGGTAACTCCTGTTAAAATAGATTACTACATAAAGGGAAAGTTTATTAGGAAACATGCTAATTGTCTCTTCATTTAACGCTTGCTTAAAAATACGGGCTAAATTGCATATAGGAAATTTTGCTTTCAAAATGTTACTTACTGAACTTTTCAGAGCACTTTGGGATAATTTTGAGTTTGTGAATTATGTTCTAAATTAAATATAGACTATTTTTGAAAACTAGACTATTTTGAAATACAGATATTATTGAAAACTATTTTTTCAATAATATTTAATGGCTTTCTTTTTCAGATTATTTCTCATGAGAAAAAAGCACATGATAATTGGGTAAGTTTAATTTCTCCTAGGTTCTTTTAAGAAATTAGGCTATGTTCTTTCAGAAATGCACTGCTCATTTAAATTTGGTGGGCAAAAGTGGTATTAAAAATATCCACTTCTTTTAATTTCACAAGTAGTGAAATGATGTTCCCTGTGAACTGTGTACTTTGCTATAGCATGGTCACTCACAAGATCGGATTCTTTTCTTCTCTGCTTTCTGCACATTGCTGCTTTGCAAGTTGATAATCTTTCTTGGGATGGTGATGTGAGGATACTCATAGTATCACCATTTTAGGACATATAACATTCTTTGCCCATTTCTTATATGTCATTCACAATATTCAATGAACATAAATTTTACAATCTAGTTCATTTTACTTTTAAAAAATTATGCTTCCTTAATCTCACTTCGGATGCTGATGTCTGCCGCCGTGGATTGCATATGTTTGGTAGGTCTGAGGTTCTACATGCTGTTGTTTCTGATCTGGAGGATCCACAGAATGGCTGGGAAACATTAGTATTCTTCCCAGCTTTGATATTTGCCCTCCACTGTTTGAAAATATTGCATGATCTTCGTATTTATTACAAACTTAAGTTTTGTTTTGTTTTGTTTCCTACAACCTACAAATGAGGGTAAACTTTTATTTTACTTTTAAAAGTGCAATAAACAAAGGTAAAAAATTACAAATGTAAAGGTTTTATAGGGATATGATTTATATAACATTGTATACATCATTGGTATGTAACTTGCTTGGAATTTTATATATTATAAAAAGATGGCATGTACCATCATGCTATGTGGAACTATTTTAACCTTTTTTGATTTTACAGAATTGTAATGATTCCTCTCATGAATAATGACTGAGTCTACGTTCCTATTACCCTGACCTTACCCTTGTCCTGTTATTTGGCTATTCAAAGTACCTAATGATTTTAATTTTTGTAATCTAGATGACAGCCTTCATTGTTAAGTACATGACTAAACTCTAACCTCACCATTCTTTAGACTCATGTTTTCTGGTTTCTGAAACATTCCTTTTCAAATAATTTTCTAAGTTATATATGTATATTATATATTTTACATTACCTTAGTGAAATGAATATTCAAATGATTGTGATATTTGTTGCCCCTTTGCTATGGTATTTGTGTATACCTTTCATGTTGAATGTGTATAAATATAATTTTTGTCAATTTTGTTTAAGTTGGCAGCTCGGACGGCTGAAAGGAACTTGAATGATTTAAGAAAAGAAAATGCTAACAACAGACAAAAGTAAGTATCTTAGGTAGAGCACTTAAATGAAACAAAACTAGTGTTATTTTAGTCTTAGAAATTTTATTTTGGATTCACAAGAAGATGGCAGTGAATACAGCGTATCTAGTTCTACTTACTTCATCTGGGAGTGGCAGTCACTCCTTTTTATCTGCTTAGAGCCGTGGCGTGGGCAGGACACGAAAATGGCACTTGAAGAAAGTCATTCCTAGAGTCTTCTGTAGAAGTGTAATGTGAAATACTGTCTTTTTAAAACAGTTTCATGGCCACTTCTTCCGCATATCATACAATTCAGTAGTTCAGTCATAACAAGAAGACTTAGACAGTCATTCCCACAGTCAGTTTTAGAACATTTTCTTATTCCTTGTACTTTGTTTTTAGTGTAATTATTATTTTTTAATTGTGGCAAAAATGTACACAACGAAACGTTCTCCAGTTCAACAATCTCCACATGTATAATTCAGTGCCATTGATTATATCAACCATTATTGACATCCTTTTCCAATTAATTCTACTACTATTAACATAAACTCAATGCCCTTTTAGTAAAATTCTTCCTCCTTCACCCATGGTAACCATTGAAAATATTTTCTTAAGCCAGTGAAAGTGAAGGGAGAGTGATGATGGATGGAAATATAATTGATGAATCTCTTGCACAGTAATTTCTAGGGTATCAGAATTTCTTAGTGGATATGTATATAGAATACATGTGTATTATCTTTCTCAGTTCCTTTTTAAAGAAATTTTAATCTAATAAATCCCCTGTTTTACTGTATTGCAGACCATACGTTACAATCATTAGATGAAAGGACAATGAAAGTACACAATGTTCCATAGAAGCAAAGAGTAAATGTTTTTCTCTGAGGATAACCAAGTGTTGTAATTCCTTGGCGGATAGACTATTAACATTATCCACTGTTCGTTGTAGCCTTCTTGCTTGTCTTCTGTCCTCTCAGAAATGAAAGCTAAAGGAGTGAATGTTTTCAGTGTTCTAGTTCAGATCACGAAATAAGATTCTGTGGAAGAGAAGGATGAGTTCATTAGACTTCCGATTTTGTCCTGTGACTGGACCCATACGGGACCCAGGACAGTGGAAAGCATACATGAGTGCAGAACTCCATGTTAATCTTGATCTTCTCACTTTTAATAAATCATTCAAACGCATACATTCCGTTTCCACAGTTGTAAAATGAGAGACATGAACTGGTTGACTGGCGATCCCTTCATTAAAACATTTTAATTTTGTGATAGTATGTCAATTGCCTTCTAAATGTGAAAAAGGAGCAAAGCCATTCCAAACCTCAACAAAACTTTACTATCACAAGGCAGAAGAGGTAACTGTCATCCCAAAATCAGTAGTAAGGGATAAATAAAGATGTTTTGATGAATTTTAGGTGTATTTCTTTACTGATGACAATAAGATATTGAAGAGTAACTTGTATTTGGCAATGACCTTTTTCTTGAATGAGTAACTTAAGAGGTATTTGTTCTTTATTTGCAGATTAACTGAAGCAGAATTTAAATATGAACTTTTAGAAAAAGATCTTTATGCACTTGATGTTACAAATACAACGTTTGGCAGAGGTAGTCTTTAAAAAAAATCTTTTCTCATATGTATAATATGTAAATGTGTGTGTATATGTTACATATAGTTTATATTGGTTTAAGTTACAATTATAATTTTTTAGAATTAGGAGCCAGATATTCTACTTTGAGTTCTCCCATAAGCACCCAAGCTTCTGGATTTTTTTATTGAACATTAATGAATATATTTATTGCTTCCTTTTTTCAGTTGGATTTTTTAAGATAGTGTATATTTACTGCCTTAAGCTTCTTGAAAAACAAAGTGCTTGATATACATAGTTGGTACTCAGTAACTATTTGTTGGAAGAATGAACGAGTAAGAGAGTGTTTAAATAGATTAGCACTGTAACTTCGTATTACTTTCTTATGCTTTGGAATTTCCCTGAATTATACTGAAAAGATGAGAGTGTAAAAACATTAATTAAAAAGTTAAGGAAATACTAGTAATTTGAATTTGATTGCTTTACCTCATACCCCCATAAGGTAGCTAGTTCTATGAAAGACATTTAATATTTCATTACTCAGTATCTCTAATTTTGTAGTTATTATCCAAATCGTTTAAGTTTTTCAAAATACTTTCAGTTGAATTAGAATTAAGGTTACGAGGCACTGAAAGAACAAACAAACCTGTCTTTTGATAGAGTCTTATTTTCACAAACCTTTGAAAAGATGAAAGTCATCTGAGTGTCAGAGTTCTTTGAAAAGAAGGTCTGTTTCTAGAATTAGAACATGTTTCTACATCTCAAAGTGTCGGGTCATTATCACTTCAAGATTTATCACATTTTGGAGTGGGAGAGGTGTCAGACAGGAGCTTTTCCTTAATATAGTGTGAACGTCTCAAGGAGGGAAGAATGCCTTGATCTTTTATGGTAGCTGCATTTATATTTTGTGTAAGCTATATTCAATACATTTTAATAGTACAAAAGTGTTAATTTTGTGGTATTTAAAGTTTTTTGTTGTTGTTAGTTTTTGATCTTTAGAAGTGTAACCATTATTTGGAGATGGTGAAGTTTGTAAAGTGATAGGGCTCTTGGTTATGTGAATTAGAGAAAAAGTGATTTATCTGATGCATTAATACATTCAAACTAATTTTCCACTGGTTATGACTCAAAAGTAGCTTATAATGCTTTAGAGTGTGATGCACACTTTTGTAATTTCCAAAATTTGAGATTTACTTCAAAAGTTCATGGCCCAACCTAGCCTATAAAGGCCTGATTTAAACTGAACCCTTCCATGTTACAACCCTCGCCAGCTGAAATTATCTGGAACATTCTACCATTAAATATAATATAAGGCTTAACTTCATTCCCCCAAATCTCTATACCTCCCTAATACCACCAATATCCTATTGCTTAATATTGTATGGCTATTTGAATCTATTCCTTAACAAGAGGATCAGTTTTGTTGATGAAGGTGTCATTTGGTAGACAAACTTTGAAAACATAGGGTTCCAAATATTTAATTATAGCCTATTTTGGCAAATATAAAGCATCCTTCAGGTATGAATTAAACTGAACTTGGCAATAGGATGATGACCTAATGGAAATTGTTGAAATGCAATTCTAAGTCTGCAGTCTAGCTAACTAAAACTATGAATTTAAATATGTTGTTTTAACTATTCCAGAGCATTCCCCATATGGTCCCTCACCGTTGGGTCGACCTTCATCTGAAACGAGAGCTTTTCTCTCCCCTCCAACTTTGTTGGAGGGTCCACTCAGGCTTTCACCTTTGCTTCCAGGGGGAGGAGGAAGAGGTATATTGTTTAAACATCTTTATTACGCTAGATTTCTTCCGTACTTTATATTTTCACCTCACTTTTAAAATGATCTATGAAATAAATCTTTGGAAAATACAGGCATTCCTTGTACTTCTTATTGGTTACATTTTTAGAAAAGGAGCTCTCAGACATCCAATATCAGTACCCTTTTTTCCTTCAAAATTATTTTATTATTAGATTGCATTTTGATTTAAGGACTGAGTGCATATCTTCTAAACCCATATTTTTTACTTAAAAACTATTTTATAAACTTTCTAAAGAATACATAAAACATAATAACACTATAACCCACCCTAAAATTATATTATGATGAAACACTATTTTAATGTAGACTTAAATATATTTGCCCATAATTATCTTGATCCTTTTTCTAAAAAATAGAATATCAGAAGGTAAATGATATCTCTGTGAGTGTGGCCAGAGTTTTGACTGGTACCTTTTAAAGAAACGAATTATTTGCTAGTGTTGTAAGAAACTAATTCAATTTTGTGTTGCCTCTTACATGTTTTTGAGAATTTCTGTAGCTACTGCATTCAGAATAAGCATTCACTAATGATCTTTCTACATTCGTTTAGTCAGCACTTAACCCTGTTTAAAAATGGGTTGTCTTTGAAAAGTTTTATTTATTTTATTTTTTTAAGTGAAAACTCTTAACTGCACTGGTTTTCCTCTGTTTTGAGCTCTTATACTTTGTCTTATTGCCGTAAAATTTTCCTTTGAGTAGTGGCAAAACTCTAAGATATATAACCCTATTTATTTAAAATTCCAGTCTTAGTTTTTCAGTACCAAGGTTGTGTTTTATCAGAGCTGTTGCCACAGTAAAGTGTCCTCACCCTCCTTTTTATCAGTATTTTTAACAGATTGGATCTGAGGTAGGAACATATAGTGGTAGGTGTATATAAAATCACCAACTGAACCCCACATACCGAAGTACACATATCCAAAAAGATATTACTCCTCAAAATCACCTCTTAGGAAGTCCTAGTAATTCCCCATTGAAGCTGCCACTATTCTAAACCTTTTTTGAAACTTGTCCTTTGAAACAATTTTCAAAGAATATAAGAAAGTTAGTTTTCTATTTTTTGATCATGGGATGTGCTCCTTTTGCCCATTGCCTTTTAAATAGCCTCTTTCTCCATCTTCAGTTTGTTCCCCTTAGAGCTACTTCTTCCTGCCTCCCTGTCTCCGCTGCGGATTGGGGCTCACAGCCCGAGAATAGCTCAGAGAGGGCTTTGGCTTGTGTTGGCATTGAACCCAGAGCACCTAGGGAAAGGGACCAAGTTACAGATCAGCACTTGGTTCCTAGGAGAGCTTTGCCATGAGCACCTTAGAAATCAGATTAGTTTTACAGTTCTCATGCTTGCTGGACATTCCTGAATATTTTTTTTTTTTCTATTCAGTTCTACTCCATTTCATTAAGAAAAGAATGCTGATTCAGATTAAGTTATTTCATGCACCACAAATGTGAGATTGTAGTTTGAAAAGATAGCCTAGAAATTAAGATATAATTAGCTAACCCACAAATGTGACTAACTGGAAGTTGAATTACATAAGTCAAGGATTGCTTGTCCATTGAAGAGTAAAAAATAATAAAAAAAACAAACAACAAAAAAGCTTTTCATTTCTCCTCTCCTATTTAAATTCCTTTCCTCTCCTACTTTCATTATACAATGTGTTTAGATTCTTTACAAGAATGTTCTACTATTTGCTAGAGATGCTAGGTAAGTTATCAATGGGTGTTAAAAACATTGCTTTGAACCAAAAGTTTCTGTGACCTGTCAAAGGTGGATGAAGAGTGCTCTTGCTTTTCCTTCCTTGTTTTATATTTACAATTTTAAAGTTTGAATGAGTATTTTGTTTGAATAAGATTGAATATAAAGAAAACTTTATTTTAGAGTAAAGTGAATGCAGCTTTAGGTCTGATTGAATAGCTTTAATCTTTAGTATTTTTCAGGTTGTAGTTTTCACCAGGCAGTTAGTTTGCTTCTAGCTCTGGTCCTATGGATGTAAGCAATCAAAGAATATCTCCCTCTAGATGAATCCAACCTACTGTCCCGAACGAACTGATTGGTAGAGGGCTGAATAACCTAAAAGGACGGATTTGGGGCATTTAGTAGGGTCTAGTTTTCCTTCTCTTTTTTCATAAGATCAGGATCTAGTTTTTTTAAGGAAGGGTGGTAGTGCACTTCTTGGCATAAAAGTCAGTGACCACATGATTGATTCTACATAAGGGAATAGATGGAAAATTTTTTAAAAGGTTACTATATTTAAAAGTGAATGTCTGTACTGATTTGCACAGGTTATTAAGAAAAGGTCAAATTAATTTTGGTTTCATCTTTTAAAGGAGGTATTGAATTATGGAAAGCATTTTAGAAAGACTTCTATTGAAAAACTGTTTAAGCTACTGAAAGGAATAAGCCTTTGTTTTCTGGATATTTAATTTAGAGAAGACCTCATTCCCCTCTCAATGACTGGTAAATGAGGTATTAGTAGGTTTTTTTATGGAATACTTAAATGATTTTTACATTTTTCTTCTGTTTAAGTGAATATGGGATTTAAATGAAGTTACTTTTCTTCTGTGGTCATATAAGGAAATTTTAAAATTATTCACTCCTCTCTTTAATGCAAGGATTGTGTTATCCTGTTTGAAGTAGTTACGCCAATAATGCTGTTATGGATTTTGAAATTCTTGTATTAGACTTATCTTCAGAGCTTATAGACCTTTTCTTGAGGTGAATTTCTTATTTAGTAACTGTTAGAACTCATATACTTGTACAGCCATTTATATCTGGTGGTGTGAAATTTATAATCACATCGTTTATAATTAGTTTTGAGAGAAGTATAGTTGTGTTTTTTTTAGGCGCAAGGGTATGGCAGTCCTTTATTTATCCTTTTTTTTTCTTTTTAAAATCATTTTATTGGGGGCTCATACAGCTCTTATCCATACATACATCCAGTGTGTCAAGCACATTTGTACATTTGTTGTCATCATTCTCAAAACGTTTTCTTTCTATTTGAGCCCTTGGTATCAGCTAGAAGTATAGAGTTTTATTATAGCATTGAGAATTGGTTTATAGTGTGACTTTTAAGCTAATCTAAGGATATTTCCAAGAGTTATCCTAAACTTTATTCTTACTAGTAGCAGAATTATTGAGATGATTATTTTAAAGTATTCATTCTCATTTTTATATGTAGCATTAAAAATACCTCAGTTGCAGTTTACTTTCTTCCCTCATTTTTCAGACTTAGTATTTATAGTTTATAAATTAACCATAGATTTTATGTTTCAACTTAGTGACTTGTTTTTGATTTTTAAACATGAAGTTGATGACTGTGATGAAATTTAATCGAAATTTTATACAAGTATTTATATATTTGGCAAGATTATTTTCTCCTTTTTTGTCTTAGTAGTGGTATATATCTAATGTCTTTTAGGGACAGCTTTGTTTTACACTTTAAAACATGCTTGGGTTTATTTATTTATAGAGCTCCTAATAACTAAGTATTTTACATGACTGCGAATTGTAATGTCTTCCCTTTCGTCAGGCTCAAGAGGCCCAGGGGGTCTTTTGGAGCAGCAGATCACCAATGAAAGAGGAGACACCAACTACGATAGGTTACTTGATCCTCATAGAGCCCCTTCTGACACTGGCTCCTTGTCGCCTCCGTGGGAACAGGATCGGAGGATGATGATCCCTCCATCAGGTTTGTGAACCGGGTATTTACCTATGCAAGGTAGCTACTCTGTGCAATATACAGCAATGAAAGAAAGTAGGGTTCCCACGGCGTGAGAAAACGTGACACATGGTGTTGCTTTGTACGGTGGAGTCAATTCTGACTCATCGTGATGCATTTGAAAGCAGTAACATACGAATTTCCAAATGGAATCATTAGGGGTGATTGTTCATGCTACAGAAAGCTGGTTTTGCCCCCAAATGAAAGTGTTTAACGTTTATTTGAAAATAGTTAACCGTGATAAAAAGAATTAATAAACTGTACCCCTAGTCTCAACAGACTTTATTGAAAGATTTTGAGGAACCTTTTCTTTAAATAAATTCATAAGTTGCCAGTATCAGGAATCTCTCGTTATGTACTTTGTCTTTCCCCCAAATATGGTCTGTTTTCACACACTGTCATTGAGTCCATTCTGACCCTCACAGCAACCCTGTACGAAGGGTAGTGCCCCCATGGGTTTCCCAGCCTAACTTTTTATGAGATTAGAAATTCTCATCTTTCTCTTGAGGAATGACAGTTGGCTTCAAACTGCAAGCCAACTCGCAACCACAATGCACCGGGGTTCCTCAGTGTCATTTAGTCCTATTATGCACACTTGGTAGTATGCTCTTACTCTTGGCAGAATTTTTTTATATTTTTGTTGACTTAAGATGAATGGGCAGAAATAATTTTTAAGTAATTTGTAATTTCATTGTTTTTAATCACATGTTTTTATAGTTAAAGACTTTAAAAGGGAAACCACTTTTCCTACAGTTGTTTACTATTGTCGCCTAAGAATATGGGTCAATCTCTTAGGAAACAAGAGAATAAATTATTATATATTACATTATACTTAAGTATACATCTTAAAAAAATAATAAAGGTACTCTGAACAATTATTTTCTAGGCCAACCATATCCTGATCCAGCTCTTCCTCCACAAAGGCAAGACAGATTTTATTCTAATTCTGGTAGACTCTCTGGACCAGCAGAGCTCAGAGGTTTTAATATGCCTTCTTTGGATAAAGCAGGTAAGAAGCACTTTTTGGGTTTTTGCTTTTTATAATCGTGATTCACTTAAATGACTGAAAGTTGAATACAAGACTAATGTAATTACATTTTAGTAGCCCTTCAGGCCAGCATCTATTTCCTGAAAAGTTTCTGGCTTGATTTTTTTCATTATATTACATATTCATAGTGCAGAATATGATTTGGTGATTGGTTTGAGCATCATGAAAATGGATTTAAAGTGCCCTGATGGTTCAGTGGACTAAGCACTGGGTTGCTAACGGAAAGGTGTGTGGTTTGAACCTTCTAGCATGCTCCACAGGAGAAGATGAGGCGTCTGCACCTGTAAAGATTTGTAATCGCCGAATCTGTATAGAGCATTTCTACTTTATTGTCTAGAGCACCTGTGAATTGAATCACTTTGATGACAGTATTTAAAAAAAAAATTGGGGGTGGGGGGCGTGGCATGTACCAGGATGCAAGGAGTGCTGGTGGCATAATGGTTACGCATTGGGCTGCAAACTGCCAGGTCAGCAGTTTTGAACCGCCCGCTGCTCCAGAGGAGGAAGACAGGGCTTTCTGTACTCACAGAGTGGCAGCCTTTGGAGCGCACAGAAGCAGTTCTACCCCGTCTTACAGGGACACTGTGAGTTGGGATCAACTTGATGGTTGTGAGTTTGACTTTGTTTTTTAATACCTAGATGTCAAACTTTATACTGCTCTGTGATTTACTTCCTTTTTAAAAAAAATTCCACCTGCTTAGTAATCAGGGGAATAAGGCAAGCAAATATGACTAAATATATGAAAATTAATCAGAAAAATTAAAGTCTTTGTTTATGGTATAATTGGGTACTTTTCGTCAATGTTATAAGCTTAGAGAAATTTAGCTTACACTGACTGGGCAACCCATTATTTGCCAGGCATTCTTGAACATAAAAGACTTTCTAGCTATGTACTGAGGCTAGGAATTACTTGTATCCCGTGTATCAATATGAACTGAAGTTTATAACATTAAAATATAAACAGGAAATCAAAATTTCTCTCTCTGTGTATATAAATTATGCATATTTAAGTAGAATTTAAATTTATTGATGGAAACTTATCTCAAGAAAGAGAATAGATTCTCTAATTGAAAAATATATTTTTTTAGAATAAAAAGAAAAGAAACAAAACCATAATATGGATTTCTGTTATTTGGTAGTATTGTTCATTCTTTCTTTGGCTTTTGAAATGTTTTCTCTCATTAATTCAAGCTCTATGGAATCAAAGTATATGTGAGATTGAACATTTCACTTTAAAATTGGTGGTAATTAAACTCTTTTTAAATCTCCATTTTCTCCCCAATTGTACACTCCAATTTAGCGAGTATTATTAAATGCCTAATTCTTTAAAAGCAGCCAAAAAAGAAAAAAAAAAAAAAGCAGCCCGCATGACATGGCAGTTGTACCAAAAATAGTAAGTGGTAACCTGCCTGAAAGATCTGAGTTAAGTTGGCAAATAGAGCTTCAAAAAGTTCTTGGCAAAATGGTATACGTGTTTGACATTTGGTCAGAATAATAAATCCCATTAGAGATTGTGCCCAATTAGAGAAAGGGAAAACTCCCATTTAATTGAAGAGCCATGGAAGCTCTATGAAAGTAGGGGCGCTTGAGCCCCGTTTGAGAAGAGAATAGAAAAGTGAGGGGTCTTTGCCAGTAATACGAACAACATAAGCAAAAATGAAGAAATATGAATCACTAATAGATACTGGCTTTAAACTGAAATTCTAGTTACTTGACAAGGTTGTTCTGGAAGGTTAAATAAATGTGTGGAAAGTGTTTTGTAAACGGATCAGTTCTAGTTAACATATTACTGGCTTGTCAGCATACGGTATTTAGTGAAGGAGAATGGTAGTTGAAAACATTGACTGGCACCAGTGCTCAGTAAACATTTATGGAACAAAAGAGAACTCTACCAAAAACTGAAATGCACAAGCAATAGGCGATAAGTGAGATATTGGGACCTTCTAAAAATCAAATACTTAAGTTTATCAAAAAAGTAAAGAGAACCTATGGCGTGGGGGGAGACTGTGAATGACACTGGCCAATGCCTTTTCTGAGGAACAGGCCTAAGACCAGGATACCAAGAAAACATTATTTTCTGTTGGATGGTCTGATATATTTGTTAAGTGTCTAATTTCTAAAATATATAGAGCGCTTGCACAACTCTCCAACAAAAAGACAAACCATCCAATTCCAAAAATGGGCAAGAGTTTAGCAATTTACCAAAAAAGGACCAACAAAAACATGAAAAAAATTCACAGTCATTTGGTATCAGAGATGCCAATCAAAACCACAATGAGAAACCATCTCACTTCTGCACAGAGATGGCACTGATCACAAAAAGCAAAAAGCAACAAATGCTGGCAACTTATCAGGGAGGTTGGAATGCTGAATCCCGGTGGGATTGTAAAGTGGCTCAGCCCCTCTGGAAAATGGCATAGTGCTTCCTGGAAAAGCAAGAACTACAAATCCCCTATGATCCAGCAATCCTAGTCCCAGGTGGACACACTCCAGAACCAAAACCACGGACTTGAACGTGTACGTGCATCACTGTGTTAAATCCAGTCCTGGCAATGCTCTTGGGTAGGCATTGGACTGCTAACTGCAGATTGGCACGCCAAGCTCTTCTTTGAACAAAGGGTAGGCTGTCCGCTCCTGTCAAGATGTATAGCCGTAGAAACTATATAGCGTTGCTATGAGTAGGAATTGAGGGTTTGTTTGTTTGTTTGTTTGTTTGCTTGTTTTTAGCCCCTTATTCTGCTCAGTGTAGCATTATAATAGTAAAAAATGGAAACCACTGCTCATCAACAGATGAATGAATAAACTGTGGCACATACACACAGTGGAACACTGTGCAATCATAAAAACTAATGAGGGTCTCTCAAAATATACCATGAGACGACATTAAGCAGTTCATGGAAGAACGGAATGAAAAGATAAAAACTTTTCAACAAAATCTTGATTAAGGCGCATTTGTAAGTGGTGATGCCAGCCTTTTAGCCTAAAGAACTATGAGTCCTGAGAATTTAACCATATCAGTACAGTTTAAAAAATATTTTTAATGGAAGTCTTTTAAAGATTTTTTTCACGTGTAGGAAACAAGTCAGAAGAAGCTGAGTTCTAATAATAATTTATAAATTATCAAGGGTTCGTGGGGAGCGAGGGGAAAATATGAGGAGCTGATACCAAGGGCTCAAGTAGAAAGCAAATGTTTTGAGAATGATGAGGGAAGCAAATGTACAAAACTGCTTGACACGATGTATGTATGGATTGTGATAGGAGTTGGACGAGCCCCCAATAAAATGATTTTAAGGAAAAAAAGAAGCTGCTGAGTTAGAACAGTAAGGTAGATGTTTAATGATTTTTTCCCTTACAATTCTTGCAAAATTGCCCTTGTTTGATGGTGGAATGAGCAAGAGCTTTGTTGTAGTGAAGAAGGACTCTCTGGTGAAGCTTTCTCGGGTGTTTCCTGCTAAAGCTTTGGCTAACTCTCATCATAAGCAGGTATTCTATGATCCTCCAGAAAGTCAACAAGCACGTGGCTTTGAGTATCACAAAAACCTCTGCCCTTGATAAACCTGCTTTTGCTTTGTTGGACTATTTCCACCTTTGGTATCCATTGCTTTTTGTACTTTTTCTTCTGGATTGCACTGTTAAAGTCATGTGTTTCATCTCCTGTTATAATTCTTCCAGGACATGCTTTAGGATCTTGATCCTATTGTTTGAAATTTCCATGGAAAGTTCTGCTTTTGTCTACAGCTGACCTGGACACAACAGTTTTGGCACACATCCATTGGAAAGTTTGCTCAGCTAATTGTTCCTTCCGAGTTGTATAAACTGAACTAACTGAGATGGCTAAGCTGTTGGCTATTGTTTCTGCCATTAATTGCTGTTTCTCATCAATTGGAGCATGAACAGTAGTAATGATTTCATTATATATTTATGTGAATGGTCTGCTGCTGTGGGTTTTATCTTAAACACTAGCTCATCTCTTCTTAAAATGAATGATCCATTTGTTAACTTGATTTGGTGGCGGATGGGTGGGGTGGGGGGTGGGGAATTGTCTCCATAAACTTTTTTTTAAGCATCAGTGATTTCACCATTCTTCCATCCAAGCCATGCATTTGATGTTTGCTCCCATGATTGTCCTTGGTTTTGGGGGGCCAGAAATGTACTAAAGTTACCTTTTGGAATCATAAAAAACAGTTGCCAAAAATGAGGACCTAATGTCGGGGGTTTAAATGGAGAGAAAATGTTTTGAGAAACGATGTACAAATGCGCTTTACACAATTGATGTGTGTATGGATTGGGATAACAGTTGTATGAGCCCCTAATAAAATGTTAAAAAAAAAGAGAAATATGTAATACTGTAAACTAGATGCCATAAATAATACAATAAATAATAAATGATAATTGTAACGTCAAAAAAACAAAAACAAAAAAAAACAGTTGCCATAACCTTTTGAACTGAACTCTCTGTTATGAATTTAAGTGACCCTGTGAAAGACCCCAGTTTTTATTGAACTTTGCTCTTTAGATTAGAAATTGGTAGATCAACTCATCTCTGGTTAGTTTGTTCCATAACACTCCTCCTTAGCTTTGGTTTTGCTTAGAGACTGCTGGGAAGATCAGTTCTTTGAGTTAGCTGATCTTTGGGTCTTGCCTTTGGCAACCCATGAGCTTAAGGCTTCTGAGGCCACGACGCTCAGTTAAAGCAGCTATCAAATTAGTGGTAGTTCTGTGGTCTTCTTCCTCCAGTGTCTGTACTCCAGCCAGTTTTTCTTTTTTTGTCAAGGTTGATGGTCTTGTCCTCCTTCTTGGGGTTCATCTTTGAAGTCTCTGACCTTCCCTAAAACATTTCATCTCTCTCCAAACTGAGGCAGATTTCTATAAATGTTGCAAAGCTTCAGTGGTTTGGGAAGATAGGTTTTGTTAAACATTTGATATTGGCTGTGACCTAAACATTTTTTCCCTATGGCACA